ATGGGCAGCATGATCGTCCTTGTAACAATTTGAATTGATAAAAAATTGCAGTTGACAACCCTCCTACCAAACGTGGCAACTATGGTAAAATCGCCCGTATACTTTTTGAACTTTTATAAGCTGTAATGGATGCAAATGGAATTTTATTGCACATCTATGCTAATATACGAAATATATAAACCAATAATAAATCTTCAAACCTCCATTTTGATTGTGAAAGTGATTCACTCTGTTATAAATATATAAAAAGCAATATCACGGACGATGTCGCGAGCATCGACAGTCTGGGGGCAATAAATTGAACATCTGATAAATCGGGTGAGAGGCTATCGAGCGGGATTGAGGGGGCTATCGCGGTGGAAACATGGGACCTTGCGACCGGTCGTATCGTTCGCGAAATACAACGCTACCACAGTCTAAGAACCGTGTTAAACTTTGCAGACATTAAAAACCGATAACATTGTAATGATTTCTTGACTATGGCTAAGATATTATGACCGTGTAGTGGGGGTATCCACTACCCCATATCATCCCATGAATGTCGTAAGAGGCGACAGAAGGAAACAAATCAGTAGATGGGCAGCAGCGTGTTCCTAATAACGACTAAAAAAACTGCGGTTTCCAACCCGCTTGCCGCGCGTGAACACTATGGCAAATATCTCCCTTATGAGTCAATCTATGGTGGATGCCTATGTTCAGCAGTGGACTTTAATAGGCTGTAACGGTAATAGTCTAAGAACATTCAATCAGTCATTGAAGACGCGGCAATCGTGCGACCAAACATCCACTTATTAGTTCAGATGGGCGATGGGCTCTTAGGAAACCTGTTGCGACAATAGGTTTCTTCTACATCAGGTTTTGTAAGAGCCACCATACTTAAAATAATATTTACGAACTACATAGTAGTTATTGTTATGATCAGTCGTTACTTAGAGTATAAAAACTATTGGTAAATCCAATTGTGCATGCCCTAAGCGCATTAAAAAAATTACGTATAGCATGATTATACGGAATTTTTTAAAAGTAGTTTAAATACACACAAGTTTTCACTAATAACCTTATTATACTTCCAATTTTCCGATAATTTTATGTCAAACTTCAATTTTAAAAACAAACGTCTGGAAAATCCAAATATGCACGACTCACAATGCTCCATAAAGTCCAAGACGTATTTAAATATAAAAATATATATCCTACTTACTTTTAGTACGTAATACTATTCTTTATTCTGTGCTTTTAAAATATTGAAAAATATTAAGGATGTATGAAATTTGGTTTTTCGAATATTTTGTATTTGTACAGCGATGTTATTGAGCCGCTGCAAACAACCGATACAGTATTCACTCACGACGGCGATTATGACCGAACTGAGTGAGTGAGGCAGTCTATTTAGTAAAATAAGTTAATACAAGGCTGCTAAATTCCGAAAATTTTGACATTTCGCAGTCGAAAAAAATAATTATAACTAAACAAAACAAAATTAAACCGCCATTTACATTCCATGGTATATGTCTATAGGTAGCCACTAAAATCACTTTTTAATGTAAAAATAGCAATTAATCGATTTAAAAAATATATTAATAAGTTCAACAATTATTTACCTTTTTGACAATGTACTTTTTATATCATTCACGTTGGAATCTTGATTTTAGGCGCTAGTAGAACATACGTTCGCGCTTTGCGCTTAAGGCATGCAAAAAGCAAACTATACGGCGCGCGTATCGCTGATTGCCCCTTATGCTAAGCCTAATCAGATGTTCTATACTCGTAGGTACTGATACATAGAGCGGTTGAATAGCTATGCACCAAGATTGACGCCTATACGTTATTGTACTTAAGTTATTAATTCAATTCTGTAAGTATTTGTAAATATTAAGTAGATCGATAATTATAAGCTATGTTTTAGCTCAATAAAACATAGATACGAATTTATGAAACGAAGTTTATTAATCAAACACAACAATCTAATTAATTTACTGCCCCTTAAAAAGGGAATAACTTATTATATAGTTGTGATTTTGATTTTTATCTCAGTTTGACTTTTTATTTTCCACGCAACGTGTTTCGAATTCAAACTACTCTTATCTACTTATTAGTCGTTCGGGAGTCCGTCAGGGCTGTCCCGTCACGTTGCAAATAAATTATAATATTAAAATTTAATAAAACTAAAAAACACACATTGGTGAGCTGTGCTGATTCTAGAGAGAATTATCCTGGTGATTCAGATCAGTATACTAAGATAAAGTTATTAAATGATTGTATTGTTGTCGATCCTTGATACGAGTGCAAATTTTCAAGTCAATCGGACGTCTACAAGTTGGTGAACATTACATTAAAATATTATTTTACATAGATAGATAGATACACGTGAAGCTAATGAAAGCGTGTTAAAAACGATTCACACAGTTGTTTATTAATTGTATTGTATTCCAATTTGAAATAGTAAAACTCTGTTAGCTAGTCTGTTCTACAGATGAAGCGACTAAGGAAATATATGACAGTTTACTATTCTTTTTTATATTTTTTGTGCTTTGGTTATTATAATCTATTCATGTAAATATCTAGATATAATATCATCCCATCAAAAACACGGTAGTAGTAGTAGTCAAGGTCTGTCATTGTCATTCTTACTTACCCATTACCTATTCATATTTCTAGCACCAGAAGTAGAATTTTTGAGCACCAATTGTCTGATTAAGTTGTTTATTTTGTTTAAATGTAAAAAAATCAGTTTATTATTTTTTATTTTTTCCTTTGTGACAACCCTAGCAATCTTGATGATTTTGATGTCGGCTTTTCCGACAATCTCAAACGCGATGATTGGCTCTATGTTCTTAGACTGTGGCTCGAATGCACCGCGTGTAGTAGCAACGTTATCCAGTGATACGGTCAAGTGTCATTGTTGAAATTGATCAAGCGGTGGATAGATGTTACAAAGTTAATCGAATCCAAAAATTACCGCAGTAAGTTAGGTCATGGGTTATTTTTTATGTATTTGATTTTTTCTTTTTTATAGGATAGGGTGACAAACGAGCACACAGTCCACCTGATGGTAAGTGATGCCTGTGACCCATAGATATCTACATTTATCCTCAATAAAAAATCAAAATGGGTCTCCGGTTCTCTACACTCACCATACGAAACACAGCAGTGTCAAGCTGCCATTTTACGCTGGTAGTCTGTGAGAGCGTGGTCCTTCCCCGGTCGAGCCGACTCCTTCGTGCTACATCTATACTACTAATATAGCTGCAGCATGGCTGTACCACGTCTGTTGATTGTTGCGTTCACAATCATTTTCTTTTTCTGTAAATGGAACTTTGGCCTAAGAGAATCCATTACCCCATATCCCGTGGGTGACGTAAGAGGGGACAAAGGGAACCAAACTAGGATATGGGCAGCATATCCATGATAACAAATAAAAAAACTTCGATTACAAATCCGCGAAAGTTTGGCAACTGTGACAAATATCACGTCCACGAGACCAAATTTAAGTTGCCTTTTGAGAGGCTGTAATGATAAGGACGATCGTAATTAAAATATACTGCGTATGATGATGAATGCCGATAATCAGAGGCAATTCACGTGACTATCACGTCTTCACACGTAATTGCGCACTGAATTTAATTTCATTCATTCTTGAGAACTACCTCTGCTCGTTATTAATGTTCACATAAAAAAGTAATTTTTTAACATTTTTTTAACGTAGATTAATGCTGCAGCTGTATTATGGCATCAACAAAACTGGCCCCACAGGGGAAGGACCGCACGTGCATAGTATACCAGCGTAAAGTAGCAGCTTAATGCTGTTGAGTTTTGTATGGTTAGTGACGAAATTCGAAGATCCTTTTTACTGGTAACAAATCATTACATCTAACTCCTTAAGAGTTACTAACTGATACGGATCGAAACTTAAGGATACATTTTGGTGTATATGGGCTACATCCTCCACTTAAGTTAAATTGTGTGGAATCAACTTTATTTGTATAAAAAAGTGCAACAAATAATGTTTACATTTCGTACCTTCATTGAGTTGAAGCTTTTCAGTCGTAAACAGGTCACTGATTAGGATGCAATTAGCAGTACTATTAATGCTCTTATCGACGAGGTCAAGATCACGTGGCTTTGACTAAGAAACTTTCCGTGTTAGTTTGATAATAAAAGTATTACGTAATACTTACAATTTCTTGTAAAATACATGATAGGGCTTGTAGTCAATAATCTAAAGCTAGACAGCTCATTTTCGTTTATTTTGAACTCGTACGCTTATACTTTTGTCAGTGTCTAGTAACAAAAAAATTATTCTCTACAACATTAAAAAAAATCGATATCATAAATGGTCCTTGATTGTATAGTTCATGATGATTAAAAAGTTAGCGCGTACCGAGCTGTTAGGTCGACGTTTTAGAAAAGCCTTTAAAAAATAGGTTGAGAAATGGAACTCCGTTTATAGGATTATAAATTACAAAAATATTTAGGAAAATGAGGGATGCTCGAACGCGACGGATGTTAGGTTTCGACTGACGTGTTCCCTTGTTGTGAACCTTTACTGTGTTCATAAATAATTACTAGAAAACTGTGTTAGCATTGTAGGTTCTAGACAACTCAAGTAGAATTTACTACTAAGCAATGTTTCTGGGGTGGTCTGAGATATTTTTTTTATAGAATTAGGGTGACAAACGAGCACACAGTAATAAGACTGTGTGCTCGTTTATATCGATACACATCTATCTTCGTTTGCGAATTAAAATGCAGATGCGTTGTCAGCCGTGAAGACTGAAATAGAATGCCTCTTTTCTAGTAAAAAGGTTCTACGGTTCTCTACATTCACCATACGTAACAGCAGTGTTAAGCTGCTATTTGAAGCTGGTATTCTGTGAGAGTGTGGTCCTTCCCCGGTCGAGCTGAGCCATTCGTGCTACAAGTGTAGTATTAATATATTATGTAGTAGGTAAGGGTATAAGGTGTTGTGTGATAATATATCTGTGTGTCGTTGTGGGCAGAACAAGCAGGCGTACTTCCCGATCTTCGGCGAGCAGCATCCGAGGCCGCCGCGCTCGCGGCCCAAGGACGCGCAGGGCACCGTGCGCGCCTGCGCCGCCTGCCACCACCACCTGCTGCAGCAGTGGAACACCTACCAGGTACGCACACACGCGCACACGCACGCACACACACACACACCAAGGACGCGCAGGGCACCGTGCGCGCCTGCGCCGCCTGCCACCACCACCTGCTGCAGCAGTGGAACACCTACCAGGTACGCACACACGCGCACACGCACGCACACACACACACACCAAGGACGCGCAGGGCACCGTGCGCGCCTGCGCCGCCTGCCACCACCACCTGCTGCAGCAGTGGAACACCTACCAGGTACGCACACACGCGCACACGCACGCACACACACACACACCAAGGACGCGCAGGGCACCGTGCGCGCCTGCGCCGCCTGCCACCACCACCTGCTGCAGCAGTGGAACACCTACCAGGTACGCACACACGCACACACGCACGCACACACACACACACCAAGGACGCGCAGGGCACCGTGCGCGCCTGCGCCGCCTGCCACCACCACCTGCTGCAGCAGTGGAACACCTACCAGGTACGCACACACGCACACACGCACGCACACACACACACACCAAGGACGCGCAGGGCACCGTGCGCGCCTGCGCCGCCTGCCACCACCACCTGCTGCAGCAGTGGAACACCTACCAGGTACGCACACACGCACACACGCACGCACACACACACACACCAAGGACGCGCAGGGCACCGTGCGCGCCTGCGCCGCCTGCCACCACCACCTGCTGCAGCAGTGGAACACCTACCAGGTACGCACACACGCACACACGCACGCACACACACACACACCAAGGACGCGCAGGGCACCGTGCGCGCCTGCGCCGCCTGCCACCACCACCTGCTGCAGCAGTGGAACACCTACCAGGTACGCACACACGCACACACGCACGCACACACACACACACCAAGGACGCGCAGGGCACCGTGCGCGCCTGCGCCGCCTGCCACCACCACCTGCTGCAGCAGTGGAACACCTACCAGGTACGCACACACGCACACACGCACGCACACACACACACACCAAGGACGCGCAGGGCACCGTGCGCGCCTGCGCCGCCTGCCACCACCACCTGCTGCAGCAGTGGAACACCTACCAGGTACGCACACACGCACACACGCACGCACACACACACACACCAAGGACGCGCAGGGCACCGTGCGCGCCTGCGCCGCCTGCCACCACCACCTGCTGCAGCAGTGGAACACCTACCAGGTACGCACACACGCACACACGCACGCACACACACACACACCAAGGACGCGCAGGGCACCGTGCGCGCCTGCGCCGCCTGCCACCACCACCTGCTGCAGCAGTGGAACACCTACCAGGTACGCACACACGCACACACGCACGCACACACACACACACCAAGGACGCGCAGGGCACCGTGCGCGCCTGCGCCGCCTGCCACCACCACCTGCTGCAGCAGTGGAACACCTACCAGGTACGCACACACGCACACACGCACGCACACACACACACACCAAGGACGCGCAGGGCACCGTGCGCGCCTGCGCCGCCTGCCACCACCACCTGCTGCAGCAGTGGAACACCTACCAGGTACGCACACACGCACACACGCACGCACACACACACACACCAAGGACGCGCAGGGCACCGTGCGCGCCTGCGCCGCCTGCCACCACCACCTGCTGCAGCAGTGGAACACCTACCAGGTACGCACACACGCACACACGCACGCACACACACACACACCAAGGACGCGCAGGGCACCGTGCGCGCCTGCGCCGCCTGCCACCACCACCTGCTGCAGCAGTGGAACACCTACCAGGTACGCACACACGCACACACGCACGCACACACACACACACCAAGGACGCGCAGGGCACCGTGCGCGCCTGCGCCGCCTGCCACCACCACCTGCTGCAGCAGTGGAACACCTACCAGGTACGCACACACGCACACACGCACGCACACACACACACACCAAGGACGCGCAGGGCACCGTGCGCGCCTGCGCCGCCTGCCACCACCACCTGCTGCAGCAGTGGAACACCTACCAGGTACGCACACACGCACACACGCACGCACACACACACACACCAAGGACGCGCAGGGCACCGTGCGCGCCTGCGCCGCCTGCCACCACCACCTGCTGCAGCAGTGGAACACCTACCAGGTACGCACACACGCACACACGCACGCACACACACACACACCAAGGACGCGCAGGGCACCGTGCGCGCCTGCGCCGCCTGCCACCACCACCTGCTGCAGCAGTGGAACACCTACCAGGTACGCACACACGCACACACGCACGCACACACACACACACCAAGGACGCGCAGGGCACCGTGCGCGCCTGCGCCGCCTGCCACCACCACCTGCTGCAGCAGTGGAACACCTACCAGGTACGCACACACGCACACACGCACGCACACACACACACACCAAGGACGCGCAGGGCACCGTGCGCGCCTGCGCCGCCTGCCACCACCACCTGCTGCAGCAGTGGAACACCTACCAGGTACGCACACACGCACACACGCACGCACACACACACACACCAAGGACGCGCAGGGCACCGTGCGCGCCTGCGCCGCCTGCCACCACCACCTGCTGCAGCAGTGGAACACCTACCAGGTACGCACACACGCACACACGCACGCACACACACACACACCAAGGACGCGCAGGGCACCGTGCGCGCCTGCGCCGCCTGCCACCACCACCTGCTGCAGCAGTGGAACACCTACCAGGTACGCACACACGCACACACGCACGCACACACACACACACCAAGGACGCGCAGGGCACCGTGCGCGCCTGCGCCGCCTGCCACCACCACCTGCTGCAGCAGTGGAACACCTACCAGGTACGCACACACGCACACACGCACGCACACACACACACACCAAGGACGCGCAGGGCACCGTGCGCGCCTGCGCCGCCTGCCACCACCACCTGCTGCAGCAGTGGAACACCTACCAGGTACGCACACACGCACACACGCACGCACACACACACACACCAAGGACGCGCAGGGCACCGTGCGCGCCTGCGCCGCCTGCCACCACCACCTGCTGCAGCAGTGGAACACCTACCAGGTACGCACACACGCACACACGCACGCACACACACACACACCAAGGACGCGCAGGGCACCGTGCGCGCCTGCGCCGCCTGCCACCACCACCTGCTGCAGCAGTGGAACACCTACCAGGTACGCACACACGCGCACACGCACACACGCACACGCACGCACGCACACACGCACACGCACACACGGGCACACGCACACACGCAAACACACTAAATTAAAATTTATAATCCATAAAATTAATCGTGATTGTAAAATAACCTAATTTATTCAACAAACATTTAGATATGACATTGGATAGGTAAATTTGATTAATTATGTACATTAAATCGAGTTAAATGATATAACCCTAACAAATCAAATAATAACTAAACTGAAACAATTTAAATTAATTAAAACACGTACACAATGTACTAATAACAAACATTCACACATCTACGTAGATTTCGGCGGGAACTTGACCGCCGGCTAGATAATGATAGAAATAATGGTATAACGTAAAATTTGATACGTAAAAGTGGTGTGAAAAGGATGAGACAAGTGCTCCGATGGTGATGTAAACCTCAAAATAATATATTCGCATAGACTCCCTGATGTACTCATCAACTGTCTGCTGGCTCAAGCTGTCATTAAATTCTCCCAAAAAACTTCGCAATGTGACGCATTTTTATTATTATTTGACACCGATAAAAGTACAATAATACAAGTCCATTACAAAGAAAAGACAAATACATACGCACGCACTCGTAGATATTACACGTACGCACAAGGACGGACCATGCTCGCTTAGTTCCAGCGTGAGTACTATGCCCACGCTATGTTTGGTGTGCTGGCTGAGTAGTGGGCGAAACAAATTGTATGTCTAATATCTATATATCTGGCAACATATTAACTATATATAAGATACCGCTGCATTACAGAGTCACTTTGCAGAACACCTAGCATCGAAACTCAAAGATATAATAATAACGTAAAATATCTATAGCCGCCTCCACATATTTGGCAAACAACGGCAAACAGCGAACACCAAACACGAACATGTGGAGTGTGGAGGATTGTTTGCCTGTTTTTGTTTGTGATTGCCAGTGATCGGCGTCGGTGTCGATTTTTGTGCACCAATCAAAGGGTATTCGACAAACGTGTTTGTGATGTATCCAAACGCTTGTTAGCGATCACTAACACGCGCGAGCTTGCGGGTGACGCACGGAATTACTATAGTCTGTTCGCGTTAAGAAAATAGTGAGTCATCAGTGCAACTACAGGGTAAAGGTGTATTCACAGTGGAGTAAAAATGTTCGAAGGCCTGACTCAGTTGAAGTCAGTCACTGTGAACTCGACTTTCTAATTTCTTGCATTTTAATTGGCTGCGGGGCGTGGCCAGGCCGGCGGACAACGATGACTCACTATTTTCTTAACGCGAACGGACTATAGTAGTTATTATTATTATACTCTACGCTGTGCCATTGTGTATTTAGGTACTGGTGTATATATACCAATACTTAGATATTACAATATATTTATAAATCTACGCAAACGAAATTCATCAAAAATCGCGTATCACCGTCTAGTACCGAATACTCACTTCCTTAAAGAGTTACAGATTCACGTAGATACGAGTATTAAGACATCAACCAATATAGTATAGATATTGGAATGTATAGATCCAATATCAGATATTCAAATCCAATACATAGATACGATGTGGTATCGGGTTCGACCCATTCGTGCTACAACCATAATATAGGTGCAGCCACCACTTATGAAATTAATGTTTTTCCGTTTGTTACTCTTCTACAAAGACAAATGCTCGTTCGCATGCGCACATGCATACACGCGTGGCCGGTGGAAGGTAAAGGGGAGATCTCCCGCCGGGCAATGTGTGCTGCCCGGGGAGCGGCCAACGCTCCGATTGATAGTTCGGAGCTATTCTAATACTGCTTTAACTTCGGAACTTTGTTAGCGCGATTCAGGCTTCGATGTGTTTCGCTTGT